GAAAAGTAGATGTCAATAGCAAAATCAGGAAAGGAAGCACACTGAAGAGGGTCCCCCAGAATCGGCAGCATGAGAGTCCCAGCGCCCACAGAGGAGGGAGGTACAGGGACTAGAAGGGAGAGAAGCCAATAGATGTATGAGCTACATGAGGGGAAACTGAAGAGATTCCCTGTGTTCCTGTGAAATGGGAAATGACCTCATCTGTGGACTCTGAGGCGGCTGGGGACAGTTGAGAAGGGAGGAGACAGTGCTGAGAAGCTCTTCTGAGGAATGAAGAAAGACCTGGCCAGGAAAGCACCAAGGGCAGCGTGGAAGTGAGCTGATGGTGACACGGAGGTCCCGGAGATCATGCTTTTCCCTGGAAGGCAGCTTCTCATCCAGGCTTCCTGGTTGTCGTCTGCGCTGTTGTGGTCTAATCCACCAGAGCTTCAGATGAACTTGTCTAAAACCAAACTGAGGACCCAGGCCTCCTCCCACCCCTGTTGCTTCCCAGTGTCTGTCCCTGGAACCGTCGGGAATACATTGCCACCCAACTCCATGGTTACCACCCTGCAGGCTGTTGCCAGGGTCTCCTGCCTCTTCTTTTCCTTCTCCACCTGTCCTACATCCAGGCTCCCTTTGTCTTGTAAGCGTTTCACCTCCTCTACCCTACTGTGGTTCCTGTTGCTGTGATAACTGCCATGAACTCAGGCCACTTGGAAAGGAAAGGGCTTATCTTGCTTACACGTGCATCTCACAGCCCATCCTTGAAGAGGCCAAGGTAGGAACTCGAGGCGGGAACTGAAGCAGAGGCCACGGGAGTGCAGCTTACTGGCCTTCTTTCCCTGGCTCGCTCAGCCTGCTCTCATTTATAACCTAGGCTCGACTGTCCAGCAGCGGCCCCACCCACAGTGAGCTCAACTCTCCCCCACCCAGTAGCAATCAAGAAAATGCCACACAGACATGCCTATGGGCCAGGGTGATGGGGCCAGCTCTTTAACAGAGGCACCCTCTTCCCAGGTGACTCTAGTTTGTGTCACATTGACACAAACCTAACCAGCACACCCACTTCTAGTTAGCTGCCACCTTTGAAGCTAAGTACCTAGAAATTAACTCTAATTTCCACTTACTTTGGTGGTTTCAGGTTAAATAAGACTGGTTCTGGGACGAGACCCCACCCCTCTCCAGTTTTAGGAAAGTCCCAAATGGTACCTGTACCCTACGCTTCTTTTTTTTTAAAGTGAACTTCTATCTTGTACTCCCACCCCATGAAGGCATAGGTAGAGGGTGGGGACACTAGAAGTCCCCGATCTGTTCTACTTCCTGGTGCAAAGGCTACGTGACACGGACACAAATAGTCACTTCCTACACAACAGATGCCTGTCATTCAGAGCCCTCAAGAGCACAGCTTAAAGTTCTATCTTCCCTCAAATCAGCAAATGCTCATGACAGTTGGTCACCCTGGCCTTTTTCCTTCATGTCTTTGTTCAACCGTTCTGGCTGCTAGGCACGCTTACTCGGCACTCCATCTACCACTCATTAGCCCACTTACCTTTGCCCCAGCCCTTTCCTGCACGGTGTCTGCTCTGCACCCTCCCCCACGCCACGGGTCATGTTCGCTGTCCCACAGGGACTGCCTTGAGGGCAGCTTCTGGTCTTCCTGTGAAAACACTTAACTGCAAAACAGATACACCTTATACAACACCTGTGCAAACACTGTCTTATCCAGCTGTGTCTCCAAGTCTATGTTTTGTGTAATTTTTTTTCTTGGCGCTTAGTAGGGACACAAGAATACTTTTGAGTGGATGGGAGAACTTTTCTCCCTCGTAATTGTCAGAATGAGAAGCATACCCTCTTGTTGGAGTACTAATTTTGGAAACATGGTTCACTTAGGTTTCCATGAAGAAGTATCTGTTCTCATGAATGAACAACGCCTGTCGTTACGGGTTTGTTCCATCTTTATTTGGGAAACGAATGCCTGCCTTGTACCCTGGATGAAGGTAGTGACTGTGTTTGCCAGAGTGCCAGACAGGCCGCTGCGTAAGGGCAAAGGAATTCTTCCTGGAGCTGGTATTTTCCAACACATTCAGCAACATTTGTCTCCTGGGCTGAATGAGGCCATGTATGTGAAGGCATATGGAAAGGTATGAGGCTAAAGGAAGGAGGTGCCATCTCTATAAATAACAAACCAATAGTTATTTTAGTTTATTTGCAACATGTTAATGTTTTTTTTTTCCAGTTTGGAAAATGGAATTGTTGGAATCTTCAGAAATGTTAACCTAAAAATAAACCACAGAGACAGACAGCAGGCTGGTGGTTGTCAGGGACAGGGGAAGGGAGGTGACTGCTTAATGTACAAGGTTTCTTTCATGATGATGGGAATGTTCTGGAACAAGATAAGGGCAGTGGTTGTCCCACCCTGTAGAGACACAAATGCCATGGAGCTGTTCGCTTTGAAATGGGTAATTTTATGTTAAATAAATTGAAGCTTAATAAAAAGAACTTAGCGCTTACCGACACATTCCAAATAGACAAGGCTGGACTATTCCAGAAGTGCACAGGACCTCCCGTCTCCACGGTGACACGCGCTCTGCCATAGCAGAGGGAACAGAGGCCTTGTCTGCACGGGGTCATGTCCTCGCGACGTTCACGAGACTGAACATGACTGCCGGCCAGCATAGCTTCAGTTTCCTCCTCTGCCTTCCACAAGGACTTTTAAGATGTTTGATTTGGTGAAGGGTCTTCTTCTTATAGAGGCGGAGCCTGAAGCATGTTTTCCCCTTCAAATGAGTAAACTTTTCCAGAGGCAACAACTCACGGATTATGATAAGCTTCTCAGTGGCCTCTGTCCACCAGGGACCTTCGGGAAAGGAAAGAAAAGCACCTTGCCTGGTCAGCAGAGTCCCAGTTTCTCAGGCTTCCAGAAGGGCTGATTACCAAGAAAACTGAGTAGATTCATACCCGCAGCCCACCACTCCTTGTGATGTGGTACTTTTTTTCTCTCCGGGAAGGGACAGAATTGTATCTCTGAAAAGGTAAGTGCAGATTCAAGGGCCACGTCTCGGACCGTGTGCACAGCCCAGAAGTTCTCTTTTGTAGTAGGACTGTCTATGTGAGGTCTGGTGGGGTCCCATGAGAGCAGAATGGAATCATCCACAGACAGGTGTTCTGGCCATCCTTTAAACACAGACAGCCTCACGGAAAAACACACTGTTCAATTCAGTCATGGCAGCTGGGCCCAGGGACCAATGGCTGTATCATACTCAAGTTGCAACTTTATAACTGATGTCTGTGGGGTTTAATGACTTGAGTTTCTTCCTGATTCTAACACTTCCTACCTTTTCAAAGGCCGTCATATATGTGGTCTCATTGCTCAAAGGGCTGGAAACTTGTCTCCTTCAGAAGTCAGTTTACTCTGTAACACACTGAGAATCTACTCAACAAGGAAAACCTAGAAACAGAGCTGTATTCACAGATGGAACTCCAGTTCCAGCACAAAGGATTGCCTCTTGACCTCCTCACCAAGGCATCTTTTGTGAGGATTGTCCATGCTGAACTTCTTGCAAGTCTAAATGCTGCCCACCTCTCGATTTTAAAGTCTGTATTGGGTACAGAATCAACAGGAGTCAACCCAAGATATGGGGGTGATTTGGACCAAGTCAATACAGACCTACAGGTGACTCTAAAACTCCCCTAGTACACTCTCTTAGATTTGAGAACCCAGTGGGGCCAAGCCCTGGCTATTGGTTTCTTTTTCTTTTTTCCAATGAAAGCCTGAATGGCTGTGTGGATGTTAAAACATTTATAGTCATACAGAGAAGCATATGACTCCGTCTAATAAGTGCCTGTCAATCATCAACATCTCTAATTGCCATATGGGTAAAGAGGTAGGGATCTGTGAAGTGTTACTGGAAGATGGAGAGTGTAAGGAGGTGGCCAGGCATGAGAGGCAAGGACAGAAACATCACTACGTGCCTCTCTGTGGACAGTCATCCTCATGGCCTGGAGAAGCTCTGGGAAACAGTCTGCACAGCTGCCTCCTTCATATTCACCCCACAAGGAAACATGACTTACTCAAGAGAGCCTAGGTATCACGGAAACACCCCAAGCTCCATCCGAATCTGTCCATCCAGGCAGAAGAGGTCACAATGAGGCCCAGTGAGACTTCTAGGCAGCCTTGTTCCTCTGTGGACCTGCTCTGAAGGAAGTGGAAGGCTCCTGTTGCCGTCTCTAAGCCCTCCTATGCAGGTATGTCTTCCCGCCTCCACAGGGAAGAGCCTAGGTGCAAGAGGGCCCATGGCTTTCTCCATCAGTTATTAGAGGCAGGTATAGGATCCAGGACACCTCTGACCCCCAGTCTATGCTGAGCAAAGTAAATGACAGTGTTTTTAGGGCTGTTTTACTAATAAGTAGTAAATAAGCCACTGCCATGCACTGTGGGCTTTAACTAATGCTGGGTTTGTCTCTGCAAGCCCTGAGATGGAAAGGAAGGAACACATTGAAAGACGTTCCTCCGTCACTTAGTAGTCTATGGAACAAGGCGCCTGCCCTGTCACTGCTGAACATTCCATTCTTGACAACCTGTGACTTTCCAAAGGCATCTAGATGTCCATGCTCCACGTATTTGCATGTCTTGGTTTCAGGGGTCCTTCCACCTTCGATCTGTCTGACCATGACAACCTTAGAGTACAATTAATTGGTCCTTTGAAGATTTCTGGGCTTCCAGAGTCAACCTGTCCCAACAAAATGCTGGATCACACCTTGGCAGTCGTTGGCAGCTGGCTGAGAACTGGGCCCTGACACCAGGTGGGAAGGGGTGGGGGTAAGATCAGAACAGCAAGATGGGAAGGGCCACGAGGTACCCTCCATGCAGCCCAAGGTTGAGGTGAGCTCCCCCTTCCCCAACTTCATCCACGAGGGGCCAGAGGCAGAGTAGAACAGAAGGAGGAGTGAAGTAACAGGACAGATGGGGAAGGTGGGGTCGGAGCGGGGGGGGGGGGGGAAGCAAGTACCACAGGCTCTTTGATCTTAATTCATTTTATTCTACAAAATGCTACTCAGTGGAAAGTGGGAAAGCTAACAACAACAAGAACGTAAGACAAAAACAAACCCCGAGGGAAAACAGGTATTAATATGTTCTTTCCTCCATAGCAGCGAGCTCCTAACAAGCTTTTCTTAGTGCAAATACTGTAGGCTTGTGTCACATACAGTACACAGAACGACACAACACACACCACCAGAGATGCTTCCGAGCGGAGATACTCCTCAAAAATTTAAAACTATACAAAGATTTTTGAGCATGTGGTCCTGGCCTGGAGACCCTCCAATAGGGCCCTATCACCATTACTTTAAAAAGAGGGGACAAAAGGTGCCCACAAAGGTAATTAAAATTCCACCTTGTTACAACTCATTTGTCTCCAGGGTCTAATAGCAGATTTCACTCCACGTCATTGTCATATCCCAAACACAGATGCACAAAGCTTGAGTTTCTACTATATACCAAAACACGATATATACACTTCCCACTGCCAAAGAAACCCTGATACCTAGTCTTTGTACAAAGTTGAATATTTTCTTCCTCAAAATCAAGTAACCACAAAGTAAAATAAATGGAAATTTTTTTTTTTTTTAAATCATACAGAGAAAGTTAAGTTTTGAGAGACAGGGCCAGGGTCTTTCATTGTGTTCTCTTACAATGTAGATTTCTTAGCAGCCACTGTCCCCAGAGGAATGACAATTTATCTTTAAAAACAGAACCTTTTAATACAGTTTATACAGCACAAGTCCACAAATCACTTTAGAAACAAACAAACAAAATACAGCATCGTTATCCTAAGTTAGAAAAAAGGGGGTAGAGAGAGCAGGGTGTGGGGTGGGGGGAGGAACTGAGTACTTTAATGCTATCTGTTTCTATTCAGGCTTGGAACAACACAAAGAAGATGTAAACATTTAAAATAAATAATAAAATAAATGTCAATTTCTTCTCCCCTCTCTCTTCCCATACCCTCTGTCAAAATCTGACCCAGCTCCTCCCTGAACATGATGTCAGCACTGAGTCAGTACAGACATTTTAGTGAGGCATGGCCAAAACACTAGAAGCATGAGAAAATGCCAACTTAGGCAGTGGCATGATTGGTTTCCTTAAAAAAAAAAAAAAGCTGCAGGAGAACACTAGCATAAACACACACACACACACACACACACACACACACACACACGCCTCTGCCAATAAATAGTGAGATGCTGGCTTGAAGATGAACACCAAGATGACTCAAGCAGAATGCCGCAAGACCTTTTTACTTACGTTTTAAAAAGAAGACCACACACACACACACACACACACACACACACACTACATATCTTACTGGTCCACAGACTCTAGGAGAACTCAGGTTGCCGGTTCAGCCACCTGAGGAGCACAGGCCGGGTGGGAGGAGTCTGAGTGGGGAGGAGCCTGGGGGGGGCAGATGCTGCAGGGCATGAGTCTTTGAGGACCTCCAGATTGAAGGCATTCCCACCTGGGGTCTTTGAAGAAAGCCCTCTTGTCCCTTAGTGGTTTTGTTTAGCCATTACTTGGAGCCTTCTAGGAGATGAACCCTTAGTCCCATCTTAAAAGAGGATAAATATAAAAGTGCCTCAGAGAGCCCGGCACGAAGTAGGTGCTTCTTTTCCTTCCTAGAAGAGGCCACATGAATGTCTTCCCAGGGAAGGAAGTCACTGTGAAAGATAAATAGTGGAACATCTCAAGGAACACTTTCAGTCTCTTGGAAAAATGGGAACAAATGAACCCAGGTGCTTCAGATAGTCTGTCCCTCTTCTTGGCGTTAAGCGAAGCAGACAGGGTTTTCTCTCCTGAGGAAGCACCAGCCTCTGCTTACTGTTCACTTGGAAATGCTCCCATGACTGACCACCATGGGCATGCTTAGCCTATGAAAGCAGCAGTCTTGACTTCCCGAAAACCTCCCTGGGGAACCAGCTGCTTGGTGTTAGCTCCAGGCAACAACCCGAGCCTCACCTGGGCTCCACGCTCTTTCCTGTGCCACAGCTAACCAGGGGGAAGGGCTGCTCCCACAGAGGCCTGGCGGCCATGAAGGCCGTGTTTCATGCCTGCCGATTAAGTAGTGCCTGCCGTATAACCAACCCAGGGCTGCTCACAGTCCAGCCCAAGTCCAGGACAGCTGAGGACACACGTGGGAGATACAGTGCCTTGCCTGAGCACAAAACACCTCCCTCCAGCCCCACCCTCACTGCAGCTGCTCCCTGAACTGGAGACAGGGAGGAAGGCCAGCAAGCCAGGCGCCTGATTCTGGAGCACTTGTGTGAGCGATGTGTATGTGACTGAACTTGGACAGCGAGCCAGACGGAAGCGAACCGAGGTTATACCCACAGCTTAGGTGTAAATATTCAGCTCCCATCCCCTCCTTCCCCCGATCCCCACCCCGAAATCTCTGTTTTGGACAAGCCAAGAAATCTTGTAGGACAAAGCAAGCAGGTCAGAAAGGAAGATGACCTCAGAGATCCGGGTTAGCTGGCCATGCTTTCTGGCACTGATGTCAACACAGCTTGAAATCTGAACCAGAAGCCAGACTTGGGGGTCTTAGGAGTGTCCAACCGGGACACCAAGTCAAAGGCCTGTGATCTGGGTTGGGATCCATGCTATAAGCAGAAAGGGGTTTTGGGAAATAAAAGAACAGGAAGCAGCTTCATTTCAGAAATACCTATAAGCAAGAGGAAAGGCGCTCCCACTTGGCTTGAGATGATTCAGCTTCTCAGCTGAGATCTCCCAGGGTAGTTACCCAGATCCTCTACTCCTGGCTCGGCTGCCTTCTGCTTCTAGCAGGGCTCTGAGGCCAGGAAGCCACCTGTTCAGTCTCCTCCCAGAGGCTCTGGGAGACGAGAATGGCAGAGTAAGCGCCAAGGCATACAGGAAAGAGCATACCGTTCTCCTTCCATCCCTCTAGCCAAGCCCTGCTCCTTTCAGTTCTGCTGGGCTACAAATGCTTCTCACATGGCTCCTGTGTCCTGTGTCCTGCATGTTCTGCACGCATGTAACTGGGTATGGGATTACACGTGGCCAGCACATGTGAACTTGGGCTGAGAAGGGCAGAGGTCTATGAAGCTACTATCCTTTCTTTCAAAAGCCAGACTGTTACCATTGGGCTTTGATCCAGGTAACATGGTTTTAGGCAGGTGGGCAAGGACCTAGAGCAGAAGTGCTAGAAACCAGTTCTGACCAGACGCCACTTCCCGAGCCTGTGTCAACATGCAGTGGGGAGGAAGGGACAGGAGGTGGGGGCAAGGCTGTGCCCTTGCTAGAGGCCAAGACACCCGTGAGAAGGATGGTTCTTTTGCGGTGGGAAGGGACACACACTAGCTTTGAAAGCAATGGCATAGACACTCCAAGCCCTAGCAGGACTGGCTGAGACCAATGACTCCAGACTGGCCTGCTGGGTCAGGAGGTCACTCTGGAGTGGTCCCAGGGGATCATGGAAGGAAAAGCACTCGATTCATCAGTGGCAGAGACCACGGAGAGGGGTGGGGGTGCTCCTGAACCTCACTGATCAAGCAGCAGCCAGGGGAAGCTAGGTACCTGTGGTCACCTCCATTGCCAAAACCATCCCTACCACAGCTTCCTGCAACCCCTCCCCCCCATATCCCATGCTCATTAAATATCCACGGTGTCACCATGAGAGTTGGGGACGGGCAGAACCCAGCAGGGCCTTGGAGTGATGTGTGGATTCCAGGAAGGGGTGCCACCCAGGTCTGGAGAGAAGGGTCCAGGGGCAGGCAGAACGGCGAGGCAGTAATTACAAGAGACGCCCAGCTCAAGACACCAGGTGAAGGGAGGCTCACTGGGAGAGCCATGTGGCTTTGTTGGCACCAATCCTGCCTTGGTAATTAGGCGTTTGGCAAACCCAGCCCATGCCCTGGTTGTCGCACTCACACCCCATCTTCTGGCCAAGCCGATCCTCAAAGAGATGGGCATCTCCGAGACTGGGGGGCAAAAGGTCCTTGGCGCATCCCAGTGACGGCAGCGTCACCTGCAGAATTCGGGGAGCCCACGGTGGCCTGTGACAGCAGTGCACTGGGGTGTTTAGGGAGGGAAGGTTCAATAATATTGCACTTTGACTGCCCCTTCGGGACATGTCCGTCTCGGTGGAAGAGTCACCTGCTCCCCAGCTCCAGAAAGAAAAGCCGCTTTAATATCTGGACCACCCAGATGAAATGTCATGGCAAATCTCATTAAAAACCCACAGGGAGTGAAACCGATACTGGGGGAAGGAGGGGAAACCAAAAGGCACCGAGCATGCTTGGTGGGGCAGGAAAGGACACCGTCACTCCAGAGACAACAGAGCAACAAAGGGACAGGAACCATCTGGGCCAGCTCCGGGCGCTTCAGAAGCGGGAGAGATGTCTGGGTCCACCAAACCAAGTTCTCTGCGGCTTCTCAAGAAAGAAGATTTGCTTGCGAGACGAATGAGGAAGAGGGGTGTCCCGGGGCTTTTAAGAGATCAAACAGTGTCTCACCACTGAGTCCCATTGGATCCCCAGAGCCAGGGTTGGCCCTTTTGCCCTCATGGCCCTGGAGTGCTTCAAGGTGCTGGTCCCTGGGAAGGGTGTGGCGATGATGACTCCTCCAGGCCAGAGGAGCTCGGGGTTACAGGGCCAGCAGTGTGGGGGAGTTCAAGGAGTCTGAAGACTGGTCCCCGCTGCTACTGCTTCTGCGGTGAGCCTTGGAGCAGGACTCCGAGGGCGAGGCAGGAGATTCCTGCTCCAGGACGCTGGGGTAGGTGAAGACAAGGTTTGAAGTGCCCGGAGTGATGGCAGGTGTGGAGGTCACCACGATGGGAGTGTGCAGAGGCTCCTCGCCGTAGAAGCCACCCCCAGCGATGCTGATGGGCTTTATGACAGAACGTTGGGTCTTGTCCATCCCCGCTGAGGAGGAGGGGCTATCCTCTTCCAGAGGCTCCTGCTTCACCACCACAGGGCCGCCTGTGCCACGCAAGGACTGCAGCCCAGAGGTTGGGGGAGAGCGGCGCTCCTCGGGGCTGATTTTGCACACAGGGCCGTGGGCCACCAACATGAACTCCAGCTTTTCCTTCTCCTTCTGTAGCTCAGCAATCTCTTTCTGCAGGCCAGACTTCTCCTCCTCCAGCTCCTCTGTCTCCTATGGGGGAAAGAAGGGTGTGAGGGACAGAGGCCTACAGGCTGGCCTGAGGGATGGTCCCAATCCAAGGAAGAAAGGGAGATCTGCAGTGTCCTCAGGAGCCCTACCACAAGCGACTCACACACCTGGCCAGAGAGTTAACTGGGTGTGAGTCACACGGTGGCTCACGGTTCTTTATTTCTGAAGGAGGAAAGTCGCTGTGCAGGGCAGGTGAATTAACATCTGGAGCTGCTGTAATTGAGCGCTTAACTTCACGCCTGCCACTACGCTGAGCACTTCACAGATTATCTCCTTTCACACCCCTCCCAAGCCTCCGAGAGGAGATGTTATCATCAGCCCATCCTGAAGATGAGGAAGCCAAGGTTCAGAGGCGTTTGGTCTCAAAGTTACAGAGCTAGCTGAGAGTTCCCCGGATTCGAATCCCAATGCATCTAAGTCCAGGCCTTTGTGCTGCTTCACTCAAGCCTCGTGGTGCCCATGTGACCTTTGGGTCTCCCGACAGGTTAGAGCAGGATACTCACAGAGAGCAAGGCGCTCTGCTCAACTCCCCCTCTACCATTTCAGCTCGTCAGTGGACACTGATCCCAACCGAGAAGCTGCCTGAGAGCAGGGCCTTGTGTACAGCCCTCTCCCCCCCAGCACTGGAACGGACAGTGGCTGGCTTGTAATTAACACCAAGCCAATCCCTGCTGGGTGCCCCCTCTCATGCTTTAGTTTCTGAAGCCCTTGCCCCTAGATCAGAGACCCCAAGGAATACATTTAGCTCCACCATGTGCCCAACAGAGGGGCACCTGGTGGCCTGTGAGAGCCTGTGGGGATGCCAGGCTCACCGGTGGAGGCCTCAGCTCCCCTCCTTCACAGAACAGTCACCGCAGTGCAGGTGGATTGGAGCGGCTGTGGGGGGGCAAAGGGGTACGCTGCTAGCCTCCTCTCCACTTTTTTCTCTAATGCAGGTTCCCATTCACAAATGCAGAGATAGGGGCAGGAGCTTCATTAAGCCCAGTTCGGTATATTCCGGAGTGAAAAAAAAAGTTTCCACCTGTCTCAAGGGTCTGATGAACGTCAGAGGCTTCCTGTGGAGGATGTGGCTCAGGGGCCTGGGTAGCTGGGTCAGGACGTGGGGGAGGGGAGAAAGAAGTGTGAGACTTCTGGGAAGAGGGGAGGAAAGTAGGGAGGAGGACCTGTTCTGGGCTGGTGGTGAGGGATGCCCTCTGGGAGGTGAGGCGAGGCGCGGTGAGGCAGGGCTCCTCTGACTGTGATAAGAGAATGGTTAGCAGTGGAGGGATCTGCTGAGGAGCATCCCGTGGTGGTCGGCTGATTGCCTCCCTGATCTGCCTCATCTGGGAAGGAAGAACTTTAGCCTCCAGCCTTCCTCTGACAGCCCCGTAGGCCATGTCTACAGGGATCATGGGATTCACCAAATACATACTCCAGTGGATGTGGCCAAAAGTTGGGGCTGAGGCATGAAGGAAACAGAGCTTAAGGCAGATAAACTGTACCTGGAAGGATTAAATAAGTTCTCAATCTCTCTACTAGCCAGTTGACAATCTCCAGGCTCATCTCCCTGAGCGCATTCTATCCCAGGAGTCAGCCCTGGCTTGGGACCTCCTCTACCAGACGCTCAGCCCTTCCTTTAGGGCCAGACACAGAAGAGAGTTACGTGACTTTGGTCAGGTCAAGCTGAGGAGAGGGAGGGGCAGGAGCATGGGGGCCCCCGGGTCTGGGCAATTAGGGAGCATGGGAGAGTGACTCACAAAGACGGAATGAAGATGTAGAGGTGGGAAACCTTCCTGCCGACGGAGGATAGGCAAAAAGCACCAAGAAAACAGAACCCAACTGACAGGTGACCTGTCTGCACGAGAATGCTTGCTCCCACCCGACTCAAAACAGGGTGCTTCATGTGTTAGGTTGGAACTGAAAGGGTAAGAGCCCTCCAGCCCCCAGCCCACCCGGAGCGATCCCACACCACACACAGCTCCTCACCGCCTGCAGCTTCTCCGTCAGCTCACGGCGACGGTTCCGACACTTGGCTGCAGCCAGCTTGTTTCTCTCCCTCCGGATCCGGCGCTTCTCCTCTTCTTCAGGAGACAGCTATAGAGGCCAAGGTCAAGGGGTCATGGTCAGAATGGTGGGAATGGTTTTGCAAGGTGTACTTTAGGGAATGCAACCTGCCCTTTTAGGACTGGGTAGGGGAGGAAAGAGGGAAGAGGAGTAGCCAGGTTCAGAGGTCCCCCGGGTCATGAGGTCACTACCATGTGGCTGCCTGGGGGGACCTTGTTGCTGGATCTGCCTCGGGAGGCGATGTATGTTTAAAGGGATAGTAGAGCAAGAGTGGGTGAGGGTTTCAATGGCCCTGTACCAGGGCAGGATTTGTCTGTCAGCTCTGATTCAGAGCCTAAGCCAGAGAAGAGTCTGCTCCAGCAAGCCTGGCCTGGCCTCACCTGCTCTAGCGGCCTCCTCCAAAGCGAGCTAACCACCCTCCCCATCACTGGCCTGCTCTGCAAGCCTCCTCACCCACCTCTGCTTATGTAGAGTCTCCACACAGGTAAGATCCACCCATGGAGGGGGCCGTGAACCGATGTCCTGCCACCCATGGGAGGGCCATGGGTTCCACTCTATTCCCAACTCCCTCTGGCAACCTGAGGGCCAGTTTCTTACAGGTCTCCCTGAGGACTCCTTGGGAGCCTGCCACAGTGCTGGGCTGGGCAAGAGAAATGCAGCAGACTAGGCATGAAAAGCGTCACTGTGCACCTTTTCTGCTTATTTGGCAGTGACCTTCTATGTGACATATGATTCCAGGAGATGGGGCTGATCTGTGAACCACAGGCAGGCCCCTGCAGAGAGTTCAGGAACTGGCTTCTTCCTGCCAACTGGTCAGAGACACACTACCAAGGAGAGGGCCATGGGTCAAAGCACAACACAGGATAAAGGGAAGACCTTCCCATTCAGCAAGATTTCCTGTCAGCTATCAGACACTGATGCATGCCTACTGTGTGCCTATGCAATGATGTGTACCTACTGTGTGCCAATGCACGGATGCATACCTACTGTGTGCCTATGCTCTGCTAGGGGCTTAAAAGATTCTAAATATGATAGGACCTGAGTCCTGCCTGCAAGGGACACATGGGGGCGGGGGGAAGAATCTGAAGCCATCCCATAGAGAGATGCTACCTAACTACAGACCCCACTATGAGCATCAAGCCACTTGTGCAAGCTGGGCCCCCAGATCAGGACCCCCCCAGAATGCTCTCTGCCACACCGGCAGTCTGTGGCTATGATGTCATGAGCAGCAAAGAAAAGCACTAAAGAGGACAAGGCCATCTCATCTACATAGAGACGACCCCAGAGGGTCACAAGACCACTCAGCTAAGACCTGAACACTTGTTGCTCCCAGACCTGCCTTGCAAAGTCAGGGGTGAAGAAAGCCTGTGGCAGTCCTGGGTTGAGGTCTCTTCACATGTCTCCGGACGCCATGGAAGGCCCAGCATCCTCTCCTTCTGCCCCCCTTCCCCTGTTACATAGCTCTCCTTTACTGCTGAGGAGAAAAATAACAAAATAAAAATGCTAGGCTTGGTCCACAGCAGCTTCCTCCCACCTCGGTAACTTTTAGCCTTAGCTGTCTCTCCCTGTCTGGGGAGGTGTGGAGCAGCTACGGGTACTGTCGACATAGGAAATGTTCTGGGGTGGTGAGATCAACGTGGTTACAGCTTGAGTGTTGTTAACATCACCAGGGACCCACCCACAAGCCACACACGCTTTCCCCTCCCTTCTCCTCAGTCCCCACCCTGGGCTCAGAGGAGCCTCCTGGGCAGGCTCTTGAGGAGGTCATGAGGCACCAAGCTGACTCTTGGGACAAGCCTAAGAGTGGAAACAGGGCGGGGAGCCAGGGGGGGAGAGGGAGCTGGAAAGGATGGAGGACAAGCCACAGACAAGACCATAGAGCCAGGAACCGGAGTCAAGGTTCTAGAGTGTGGCTGCAAAGAAAGAGTGTGATGTGGTCAGGGGTCCTCTGATTGGCTCTCTTCTTCCCTACCACAAAAAGGATGGGTGTCTCCAGATAGATAGCCGGTCTTGAAGCACACCTAGATAACACAGCTCCTAAAGCATCCATCCACCACATCCAAGTGGTGGGTCCCAGTCTCTGTTACTAACTCAGTGTGACTCTGGGTAGGGCCCTCCTTTCTACACCTCAGTTTATCTATGAGCTGGGCTCAGGGGAAAAACTCAGAGGCACAGTCCTCAGAGCCCTTTCCAGAAGGAAGCTTCTGAATGTAGGAGGAGGTAGACAGCCCACAGGAGCCTTGGCATTATGCATACGTGGGAACAATCTTCCTGTTGATGGCTATGACGCTGAGATCCGATGGCTACGGATTCAGCACAGGACGAAAAATTACAAACGTCAGTGTGGTCACTGCCACAGCACCTGCAACTGTGACTATGGGAAGCCCCCGGAAGGGGCCTGTGGCTTCCCACACCCACGAAACCTTACTACAGTGTCTACTACACATAGTCCCCAAGGGCCCTGCACTGGAGCCCCAGTGTTGATGTCTAGGGCCTACTGGCTCTGGGTCTATCACTCTGCACAGGGGTCCGTGTTTGAAGGTAGTGGTACTAGACTATGGTGGACCCTGGGGAAGCTGGAGTACAAATGGACAGGAGTTAGAGTGAAGGCGTCCACAGTCAGCAGGAAGGCGTCACCAGATTCGCATTTAAAAAGGAGAGTGCGCTTCTAAAGGGTTCCCTTCTCTGGGTTCACAGTAGCATGGCCCTGTGGGGAGAGCCTAGAATCCAAGCAGGTAGGTCTGGGTCTTGGGTGTATTGTCTGTGGTGGGAGACAGATGAGGCTCTTTGAAGGCCCGCATCCTTCCTCTCAAGTCAGTTTACTCTCAAAGCGGAACCTCTTGAGGAGGAAAAGCAAGCGAAACCTGATGTGTGACCTCTATCTACCCCCTATGGCTGGACAGACTCCTCGGGGCCCCAGGTCACTATACTTCTGGAATGTACATTCCAGGAACCGGAAAAGGGCTGCAGCTTTGATCTAAAGCCCGAGACACTGAAGAATGCAAAGCCATATGGGTACTCACAGCCCTAGTCCCATGGTATGTACCCAGTGGCTTCCCACTGAGGCCCAGGGCAGGGGACTATTGTAGGAGGCCTGACAGTCCCCATTCACTTTATACCTACAAGATGTCTCCCATTCAAGATCTCCCTCAGACACCAACAGAACAGTCTATTTTCACGAGCCTTTCCTTCCCCCAGCTACCAGAGTACCTCTCGTTCACTAGCCAGAGGCATACCTGCTCATCTCTTCTCCTGCGGCCCACAGTGGTACCGATGGTCTTGATCACGCCGGGTCTGGGGAGAGCCATGTGCCCAGGGACTGAGGCTAGGCCTGGCAGGGGGCTGTAGGGATGCGAGCGTGGGTAAGGAGTGGACATGGAAGTAATCACCGTGGGCTGTACCATCCACTGGAGGTCCTGGCTGGTGGTGATGGCGTTGATGGTGGGGATGAAGGCACCGCCCGAGCCAGGCATATCTACCCGGAACTTCTGAAACAAGGAGGAAGACATGACGCTGAGTCAAGAAACAGCAGAAGAGGATGAGCAGAGCTAGGGCCACAGCCAAACACTGTAGACGCAGAGGTTAAGGCACGAGGGCGAAGTCAGGTCCCAGGTGGGCTTCCCTGGAAACGTTCCGCACAGCCAAAAATCAAGCAGCTCTTCTCCATCCCTGGGCTACGTGCCAGATCTGCTCCTTGCCTGGAGTCCTGAAGACTCCATTCTCAGGGGCTCAGAGAGGATGCGGCTGGCTCCCAAGTGACTTCCAGGACACGTTCCAGGCCGAGCTGCTCACATTCACCCTGCAGCCCTCCAGGGCACATATCTGCAGGATGTTTCACCTTGGTCTTCTGGGCCTCTGAGTCACCTACCAATTATTCCCCAGGGTACTGGCTCAGGACACGTTTCTTAGAGATTTACACACCAGTAGATCAACAGCGATCACTCCAAGTAGACTGTGTTTGCTTCTGTCACTTTCCAAGGAGCCTAGTCCATCAGATCAAGGTCAAGCTGAGAAGGCTGAATCCTCACCTCTCTGTTTATTGGTGCTTCTACTAGGAGTGGGTGGGACTGAAGCCCATGAGTCTGACTTTTGCAACCAGACTTCCTATCGCTGTCTTGAACCTGCTCCTTTTTCTTCACTGGCATCTTGCCTGGGGCAGATGCACAGTGTCTATCTCTGCCATCGGCACATCTATCTACCTGGGCTCACAAATGTGTCTGTGGGAACACTCTGGTGCTGCCAGCTCAGAGGTTTCCCTTTGTCTCTTAATTTATGTCAGGACTATACTGCAGACCTCTGCGACCTGTGGGAAGCCTTCTATTTAAAATCCAACAACGTGGCGCATCAAAGCACAATAGTTCGGGCCCCTCAGCTACTCTGTTACTGGAGGTGTTACGGTCAGAGCCTGGGCCCCAGTAGCCCCAACTAGCTAGGCTCTGCATATGTCCCTAGTCAGCCAATTAAACAGTAATACAGGAAAGTTAAAAAAAGGGGGGGGGCGATTTAATCAACGTGACCATATGAAGAAAAGGAACAAAGAGGCCTAGTGACTTCCAAGTCTGTCTTTGGGATCAGGACATAAGGTTGATGTTTAAATAGAGGGCAAAAGGCATGCGTAGCCAGCAGCCCTGTCCATCAGCGCTGTCTCCAGTCTGTCCTGCAAGGTTGTCATATGATTCCTTCCTGGGAATCAATAGCCCTTCCTTCTCTTAGCATGAGATTCCTGGGACAAATCTAGTCTTTTGGGGGACCATTGTTTCAACAGTCTGAAAGTCACAGGGAGGGTCACAAGTGTCTCTCTTTAGCACATCTTTCCTACTGCCAGGATGGCTACAGCTGGCCTTGCCTCTTCTCCAGGACAGCGCCTGGAAAGTGAGAGAGGCAAGAGGGGAAGCCCATTTCATTTTCAGCATTTCAGGAGAAGGCGCGCCATAGACCCAGTCAAGATCCCATCCTCAGGTGATCTGTGCCCACAAGAATATGTCTTGCAACTTTGCCCTTAGTCTCATGGGTAAAATGACGACAGCCATAATTGACAGCACTTCCAGAATGAGCAACAGCATGCTAATGTCGTGCCTAGATTACCGATTAATTCTTCCTCTGAGGTAAGTACCACATTATCTTCCTTGTAAATGCAAAGCCAGTCTGAGACGATGCCACTTACCCAAGGCCTTATTGCTGCAAAGCAGTGGCATCAGAATTCAATCCCAGTTCAGCATGGCCAAGATAGGAGCCTCTCAACATGGTGCCACAAAGGTTTCTCTAGCATTTCTTTCTTCCTCGAAACCCAGCCCCAAGTGCTGGAGTCCACTCTGTGCTAAGGGTCCCTTCCAGCCCTCCCCCTCACCAAGGAGGTCCCCAGATCAGTTCCACTCAAAAGGAAATCCTGCTGTCATTAGCCCAGGAACTATGGTAGCCCCGCCCGGTCTAGTCAGAACAACCAAGTCTAGAAGAATTGGAAGTGGCGGCCACTTTTGCAGTTTTTACCCTTGATGATAACATCACGGGTCCTAGTACGAAAATAGAGTGAAGCCTATAGGCCCATCCCCACTGTACCTGACAGAGCCAGCAGAGCCTTCCTCACCTGCCATCCTGCTACCCACCTGACTCCAGTCTTTGTGGAAGAATATGACGGCCTCACTTCCCAGACTGCCCCTGTACGTGAAGACCGCCCAGTGCAATGGGCTCTCGGATTTTACCAGGGAAGCCGCCCAATACAGTGGCTTCTGGTCAGCCTAGCCAGTTTCGGAATTATATAGGGTTGTTTTTGTATTTGATCCAAGAGTTGACTGAAATGAAACTGGTATGCCAGACATGGTGGTTCAAGATTATTTATCCCAGGAGGTTGGAGCAGAAGAATTAAAATTAATGAATGAATTAATTAATAATGAAAAAAATTCAAGGCCTACCTGAGCTGCAAAATGAATTCAAGGCCAGCCTGGGCAACTTAGTGAGATCCTGTCTCAGGATAGAAAAAGGACTAGCATGCACAAGGACCTCAGTTCAGTCCCTCGTACTGTGAGAGCGAGGGAGAGAGGGAGAGGCATCAGGGGGTGGGGTTGGGGGGGGTTACGGCCCATGTGATTCAGGTGCGTGTAAAGAAGGTAAGAATTTCTTGAAGTGGGGAAAGCGGGTGACTAGAGCCGGGCTATGAGAAGATAGAGCTGTGCTGTGAGCAGCAGACATGGCTCTAAGGTCCAGACGGCCATCTCTCTCTGGGGCTACTAGACAAGGCATAGGGGCTGTGCTCTGCCTTCAGCCAGTCACCTAGGACTCAGTTCTGGGACAAAAGGGAGTGTATTGATTCTGAACTTCCTGCATTGTTGCAGGGATTAAAGCCACAGCTACCATAATCACGGGCTGCAGAGCACGTAAGTGGTTCTTGGCCCTGGCTAAGAATATTTCTGAGGCGCTTGTAAAAAAAAAAAAAAAAAAAAAAAAAAATTCACCAATGTCAGAGCATCATCATTAGAGTCTAAAATAATTGGTTAGGGGTGGAGTTCTATTACAGGTACTTTTTCAAACTCCAAGGAGATTCTATTATAATGTGCAACCAGGGCAGAAAAACATTGCCCCAAACAAATGGAAGGAACTACACATCGTCACCATCGCTGCCTTGGCTGCCATCAGCAGGATCCCATCACCCTCCGAATATAGGTCTGAGAACACTGCACAGGCCAGCTCTTGGGAGAATCGCCAGCTCCCCACTTTTGGAAGTCCTCAACTCTGAATTCCATTTCTCTCCCTCAAGACAGGTCCTCAGATAGAAGGGGCACCCAGTGCACTGGATCCATGTGACCATTTCCTCCTCGGGGGGCGGCCGCCAGTTCTCCCTTCAGGAAAGCATCTAAGAAAGACGCTCATTCCAAAGAACAACAGTGTGCCTGTTTTAGGCTTGGGGAAGGAAGCAGAAAACCCAAAGCTGGCTGGAAGAGTAAGATTCCTCAGGGATGGGCAGGTGCCTCCCAGTCCCTCTCAGGCCCTCAAACACACACACACACACACACACACACACACACACACACACACACACACCTTCCCGGTAGACAGCAGCCAGATTCCGTGCAGCGATGGCTTGGTCTAGACAAAACAAGGCAGCAATAAAAACAAGGCGGGAGGTAATGACTGCCTCTGAATCCCATGTACACCTTGTTTCAGACAGAGGTAAAGCCATCTGGATAACACGCTGGCTCCAAACTGCAAGAAAAACAATGTCCTGTCCCCAGAGGGGACAAAGGCCTGATAAAGAAGGCTTTTGTCTCCAAAGGAGCCTCTTGGAGAGACACACAAAAGTTTCAATTAGATCTGGCAGACGGGTCTTGTCTCAACTCCAAACATGTCTTTTGGAAAGTGACGCTGGGATGAGAGAGAGAAGATGAGGCTAGGAGTCTGTGGTCTCCGAAGTTAGCCTGACATCGTCCTATGCTAACAGACCAAGGATGACCCAAATGTCCTGTAAAGGTGGCACAGAGTCACGATTCTCATGAAGGAGTCCACACTGAGGAGAAAGAAACCAAGACAGCTCTCCAGTCTCAGACATCGGGGTGATGCTCAGACATCGGGGTACAGACGGCAGTGACAGGATGGATTGAAGAGGTAACAGGGACCGAGTTCTCTTGGGGTGCTGTAAGCCCCTTGGAAGCCCTTCCTTTGGGGACAGGACTGAAGATGCTGGGGGACTGTATGGCGTTCCAGCCTGCCAGAGCTTCCAAGTTCTTAAAAAATAAATACTGTATCTCCCTGTCAACTTTTGGGTGAATGTCTATAAAAGGACAAATGGCCCCCACAGACCTCCCAGAGCCAAAGCTGGCAAGCTCTCCCCTAAGGAGCCAGACAGCAAATACTTTTAAGTTTTCTGGGCCATACCATCTGTGGTACAACTCTACTCCACCAACTACAGCAGGGGAGTATCCACACAGAATATGTGAGCAAGCGCTCATCGCCGGGGCTCCATTGAACTTGACTTGGTCTCCTAGGTTCAGGTTGGAAGGAAGCAAAAGAGAAGACAGAAGCAAGCAAAAACCAACCAACCAGCCAGCCAAACAAACAAACAAAGAGATAACCCTTCTAACCCAGGAAGCCAAGAAACCCAAGGAAGCCAAGCTCATCAGCTTGGATCTCCAGACCCTGAGCAAAAGTTCAAACCCTTACAAGTTTTGTCGTGGGCCTTTGGGCATTGGGGACGTCAATCTTATTCAGTGGCATTTTGTGCTTAGGGTGTAAAGGGGTACTTAATATGATGTCAATCAGAGATCAAAATCTCACAGCCCAGCACCTGCTAACTTGGAAAATAGGACTCAATAATGGGACCTTGGGTTCAGAAAGAGTCATACCTAGTCTTTTGCTGAACAGTCTCAGAACGAGTTTAGACCACCATCCCCATCGGCTTAGGCAGAGCCTCTCCCAGAGTCCTGAGCTAGGCAGACGTAGAATTTAAGCAGAAGTCAAGCTCGGTGTTCTTGACCATCCTCTTGGCCAGGTCCTTCTTGGATCCCAACCATATAAGACATGAACCTGCCCCACCAGGAAGGCGGGTGAGCCATCTAGGAAGGAACTGGCCTTTCTCCTTTCTACAGTCTCAACATAGAAAAATGAAAATGCCAACATCCCAGAAGACTGGCTTGGGGGAGAAAAAGGGTTAAGGTCAAGTGTTCCCTTCACACTTTATAGACAAGCGTTGTGCTCACTAAACCCAGATGCCTTCCAAAGCCTTGAGCACTGCATCTACTTTGGCCGTCATCTTGACCTCTGACCTTTCTTCTCTAAGGAAATGCCTTTCATGTCACAATGGAAATTGCTGCTAATAACTCAGATTTTCTAAACTCTGTACACTATGCAAACATTGGAGAGTTCACCCTGGAACCTTTTTCTGCTATTACCCATCCTCCATGTCCACAGTCAGTCAGACCATCCTCTTGCCCATGCCCTTGGCCGGGTCCTTCTTGATTCTTGTCAGAACGACATGAACCTGTGGCCCCTGTAGCTCCAGCAAGAAGGCAGAGCCCCATCACCTCTTTCAGGGCTGCCTGGTGCCGTCGGCCACTTGACAAGGCTGACTCAGCTTTGTCACTTACTCAATTTGCTCAGGAGGGTCAAGTTACCAAGTGAGCTTTGGGACAGATATACTGACCTCAATCAGAGCAGCTGCCATCATTTTCATATGCTGCAGTCACAACTGACCTCGTACAATAGAGATGAGCCATGTCCACCCAGCAATGAAGCTAATTTTTTTTCCCTTTTCAACACATCAACCAGAAAGTTGGTTTTCTTCATTCTCAAAACCAATATATTTATTTCTGTTTAACAGAGAAGAAAATGTCCAAGGCATCAATGCAAGGGTGCTGTCAGCAAGGGTCCATTTTGTTGGCTTTGAACAGAAGGAGTTTCCCCTGGTGGGACTCTGGAGGCTGAGAGCTGCGGGGTTTGTACCAGACCCCAGCCTGTCCATTCAGATTTTATAGGTCAGGCTTAATTCCAAAGACCTTTTTGGTAACATTCAAATATCAAATTCACCTTTCAAGGAAACATTTGTTATCAGGAAGAATTTTCTAAATACACTGAAAATAATTAAAGCAAATAAACAAAACCCAAAACTTTGAGTCCTGCAGCCACAGCGTTCAACTAAGTCTCTAGCTCCCATAATCAGCAAGAATGGAGGAGACAGCAGGGGTGATGATGATGGGTGATTTAAATGTGTAGGCTCTGGTGTGTTTGTAGTAAGAAAAAAAAAAAACACCTCAAGCCCTCAAATTTTATATTCAGCATGAATAATAAGACAGGCAGAGATACAATAATAGAAATGCACTGAGAGTTTTGGAAAGGAAAATTCAGCTGCCACTCAGACAGTTCATGACTGCTACTTCACCCCATGGTGATGAGAAAGTGAAGCGCGCTTCCACAAGAATCAACGGAACAGGCACATTCCTGGGATAACGTTCTGTTTGATCCTAATCTACAACATCTGTAAGGTCAAGGAAAAAAACAAAACAAAACAAAACAAAAACGAGAAAAAGCACCAGACCCCTGATTTGCATCTCCTACTCTCCCACCATCCCCCACACAAGCACGGACAGAAAACGATCCTTGAGTATTTGAAAACACCATGGGGGGGGGGGGGCACCCTAGCGAACAGTAAAAAGCCTTTCCCAGCCTGGCTCTTCTTTAAATTTTTTTTTTTTCTTAAAAAGAAACTCACTTTTAATTAAAGCCGGTTATAGTTAGCTATTGTTAAATATATGCGTTTGTTTGACCTAAATAGGCAGGAAATTGTAAGAATTTGGAAAACTAACGAAGTTTAACACTCTTGAGACTGGAAAAATACATTCCCAGGATAGTTATTCCAAGAATGTCCTGTAGGGGGCACTAGAGAGGTATGGTTGAGGCTGACTTGGGCAATCACAGTCATTTCTGGTAAAAAAGTTTGATGTGAGGAATGCCCCAGCCTGGTACAGTTGGCAAAAGTTCACTATGGGGAATTGTGTGTGTGTTTGTGTGCGTGTGTCTGTGTGCGCACACCTGGTGGGAGACCGTGGCAGTTTTAAAAAGGGGCGGGAGGGCGAGAAGGCTAGTCTGACGTTCCTTGATTCCAAAAGGAAATGTCCTTGATTTATTCTCACAAGTAATCTAGAAACAGATAGCAGCCTTGGAAAAATTCTGTGTCTTGTTTTTTGTTTTGTTTTTTTCATTTGAAGGGGGCCTGGCTGATGAAAACAAGTTATGAAATGACCTATGTTTGTGTAACTGGCTGGATTGCGTAATGCCAGGGCTCTGAAACCCTAACAGCCAAGGAGCGCCGCATAAATCTGGAGGTGTTATCCCAGGAAAAAGAAAATAGCAACAAAGCAAAATCCAGGAGGGAGAGGCATACACAACTACCCCCAAGAAAATTAAATGATTCACCTTTGAGATTGAGATTATAGCTGCAACAGGAAATATTTATGTTTCAAGTTCCTGCCAAATACATACCCAAGCAGAGGTCTTAACAAAGAGCTGTCTGCCTCCAAGCCCACAAGCCGGTGCTAAGACCAGGGCCTTATGTGGAGGGGGAAAGTGCTGGGCAGCAAATTTATGGGGGATTTAGGACCCCACAAACAAGGAGAGCAGGGAAAAAGTAGTATCCATTTGCCCTAGGAAAACCAGGAACATCTCACGATGATTGGTCCATTGTAATATGCCAAAGGAGGAAGGCCCAGGCGCTAACTGCTGGAGAAATTTCCCGGTGAAGGAGGCTGGGAGCATAGGCGATTACAGACTTTATCTGGCTTGTAATAAAGTTACCTTGAGCCCAGATCGGGGTGGGGTCAGAGCACAGACCTGGGAAGTGGCCAATGCTGAGGCCTATCACTGGGACCACGGAAGAGTTTTGTAGAAAGCCAGAGTGCGGAGGGGAAACCCCTCCCCACTTGCTCATCTCCCACACCAGCAAGAAGCGGAGAGGCCAGGCTGAAAGTTGGCTAAAGCGGCGTTGCCTTGCCAATCCCTTTGGTTTGAAAGCCTTCGAGCTCCTGCTGCTGAGCAGAACGGGCAGCCAGACCTGAGAATCCCATATGCACTGGTTGCTGCTAATTGCAAAATACTCATGTGTTACAGCATGCTAGGAATTAGCCAACAGCTGCTTTTTGCTTGGGTAATGAGGCCCCATTACACACTGCTGGATGGAGCTCTCTTCCTTCGTCCTAGCATTGGTTTCCTGTCTGATTTGAGTCCAAAACAGGGAATTGCCTTCGCTCACATCCTGGGCTCAAAGCCCTAGTGACACAGATTATTCAGTTGGGGCACCGATGTCCGGTCTGATTTCCCATGCAGGCCCCAGAGTCTGAGTGGAGCCAGGCAGGGAGACTACTGTGTCTATGCTCACTGTCTCCTTAGTGGAGGGAACAGAAGAAATGCAAACTCCTATGTTGACTGGGGAAGAAGAGGAACATGGGGTGGGGTTATTGAACTGGAAAGTTGGGGGGTGCAGCAGGTATAAAGGACTCTAAACCCATTGGTGAATGAAGTTTGGGTTGAACACAAATGACCAACTGGTTTGTACGCAAACGTAATCAACAACTTTCCAGATATGGTTTACACTCATTACTCTGGTGCTCGGCAGTTAAGGATCCAGTGACCATACCCTCAGTGCAGACTAGGCTCTCTACAGTGGGTGCTGAGCAGGTATGGGGGGGTAGAGAAAAAAAAAACAACACAGACAAGCCATTTGGAAGGACTCACCAGACATTACTTTGAGAGACGCCCCTCTCTTCAGATTACAAAGAGAGCCATGTTCTTATTATATTTCCCAGCTCAGTCCATTCCTCCCTGAAACTTCCCTGACCTCCTTTCTGGTTGACTTCTGGAGGCCAAAGCCATGGCCATAGCCATGGCCTTCTGGAGTAACTCATGCCGCAGCCAACTTGGCTAGGAATGCCCAGATGCTGGCCGAGGTGGGCTTCAGGCAGCAGAGGACCGTGTGAGTGAACGCAGTTGCTGCTATACAAGTCAGCACCACTCCCCCCCCCCATACCTGCCTGGTACCTATAGAAAACACACATTATAGGCACAATCCCTCCAGTGCAAATCAGTCTGGCTGCTTTAGAAAGAGTTGTTTTTCTACTTCTAAAAGCACTCAGGATCCCAAGTGATGTCTCTTTTTCCCACTTCTCTATGTCAGCTTCTTTGCTCCAGGTACCCCCAAACCCCTCAAGGTTCTGTCCCCTGGGACAGTCCAACCCTTGCCGGAAGCTGAGGGGGTAGTGTCAAGAACCAATCAAAGCCAGCTTCTTCCTTCCTGACCTTCGCACCTAATTCCCAGAGGCAACCCTAGCACAACCATATTTCTGAGTCCCCAACCCTTTTCAGAAAGCAGCCAAGACTGAAGGATAAGAGAAGAAGGAAGGAAGGGTTAAAAAAGCCTTCCTTATAGGGTCCTTGACGGTTGGGAGGGGCTTGGGGGGGGTGCAAAGATTTCCTTGCCTGTCCACTACCAAGAAAGGGGAAGGTGAAAAGGGAGGGAAGCGCGACTTGGAAGGAGGCAACAGGCTTCCAGGAGGGGACCTGCAGTTCCAGGAGCTGTTCTGGATAATAAAGAAAAGGAGGAGGGGGTGTTATTGGTATTCACGCCCACTCTCCGCTTGTTTAAATAATAATAATAATAATAATAATAATAATAATAATAATAATGATGATGATGATGATGATGATGATGATGATGATGATGATGATGTGGGATGAACAAAACAAGACCCCACAACTTACATCGGCGGCCCCTAAGTATTTTTCTAGCCTGGCCATGGAAAGGAAAAGACGGAAGCTAGGGGCTGGAGGCAGTGGGAGCGAGAGGAGAGGGTAGGAGCCTGCCCGAGCCGCCAGGTGCACCCCGGCCCGCACGTACCTGCTGGCCGCCGCCACCGCTGGAGTAGGACTCGGCGTGCGCAGGAGAGCCGCTGCTGCCCCGGGACGAGGTGTCAAAGTTCCCGGGATAATCCTGGTACATGATCCGCGGTAGGGGCCGGAGAGGAAACAGGGTGGTTTTCTTCCCCGCCCTCGCCGCTGCCGCCGCGCACAGTCCGCTGCGCGCTCGCTCCTCGCTCCTAGACGGTCCCCCAACCGAGGCAGACAGGGAGGCGGCGACACCCGGGAACTGATCCCCCCGCCCCCGATCGCCGCGCACCGCACTTCGCTTCTGCTCTGCAGGCTCCGCGGAACCGGTCGTCCAGCGGGTCCCTCCCTCTAAAAAAGTCGGCGCGTCCCTCGGTCCCTCCCCTGCGCGCGCCCTTCCGCCCCCGCGCGCAGCCGGAGCTCGGCCGGGACCCACGGGCTGGAGAAAACTGGGCAACGCGGAAAGACTAGCAGCCCGGCGGGGGTCGCTCGGCAGCTCTGGGGGACCCTCCCCTCCCCGATCTCACAGGGCGCCAAAAGGGGGAAAAAAAAAAAGAAAAAAAGAAAAAAAGAAAAAAAGAAAAAAGGAAAAAGAAAGAAAAGCTGCCGCTTGGGAGAAACTTCTGTTTCCTCCTTTTCGACAGGAGCCCGAGAATAAACTTCCTGTGGCCAACTCGCCGCCTGAGTTTCCCGGAGCCTCGGACACTTGACTCAGGACAGGGCGGCCCGGATCGGGCTGGTGGGACAGCGGCCGTGGGGTTCCAGGCGGAGCGGTGCCGCGGGGGACGTGGCTCCGCGTCGCAGTGACCTGCACCCCGTGCCCGATCCGGGACGGGCCAGCCTCGCGCGTCTCGCCTCCCTCTCTCTATCTCTCCCCCTTTCTCTCTCTCTGTCCCTGCCGAGCGCCGCTCGCTGTCTCGCTCCGAACCCCTGCGCTCTGCCCGAGATGAGTCACTACAATGGCACGAGTTCAACTCCACACTCTTTATTCTCCAGCCCCGCACCATGTGGATCCACTCACGTCAACCCCAGACTCCACCTTGCTGGGAGGAGCGCTCGAGGCGGCGGGGGAGGAGGCGCGGGACTAGGAGGAGGAGGAGGAAGAGGCGCGGGAGGGGAGGAGGAGGAGGCCGCGGCGCCCCCCTCCCGGCCCGGCTCGCGGTGGCGCTGACGCCAGCCGCGCACCCCGCGCGAAGGAGGCGGCCGGTGGTGCGGGTGGGAAGGCGCGGCCCTCGCGCTGTGGGGGCGCCGGGGCGCTCGCCGAGCTCCTCCGCCCTCCCCCCGGGGGCGCAGCGCCCTTGGTCTGTTCCATTGGCGCACAGTTGCCAAAGATGGTCATTTGCGTTAGAGGACGCGAGTGCGGGTTCCCTCGCTCTCGGGTGACGTGGAGGGAGAGGGATTCCCTCGCCTGCTCCGGAGCGCGCCGCGGCCTCTCCCCCACCCCCACCCCCACCCCGAAGGGAAGGGGCGCGGGGCGGGTGCCCGAAGAGCGGCCGCGCGCGGCCCTGGGCTCCGGGTTTTAGAAAACAATCGCAGCCCCGAAGAAGACGAGACGGGCGGCCCAGTGCGGCGCCACCGCGAGGCCGGAGCCCGGCGCGCGGAGCCGCTCGCGGGGAGGGCGCGGCCGTGCGCAGCCGTCCGCACCCTCGGCGGCGCCACCCGGTGCAGCGGGCGTCCTGGGCGCACCGGGCACCCGCGCCTCCCTGCGGCCGGGCCCTGGCGGGGTGCGGCGCGGCGCCGCCAGGCGGGGCTGGCCTACCCGTGTTCCCCTCAGATCCAGGCTGCCCACGGCTTCCCCTTTGTATGTGTGTGCGCTTGGTTCTTTTTGGTTGCTGTTGTTTTGTTTTGGCCTTCCAATTAATTTGATAGGAGTAGTATAGAAGGCCAAATTAGCCATTTCTGGAGTCCTCTGTGCTAGACGGTTAGGACGCATGTAACAGAACGAACCAGGCTTTAAAGGCAAACCGGGCTGTTGTTGTTATTGTTGTTTGTTTGCTTTAAAAAAATACAGTTGGGGGCCGAGAGGCGTGTCCCAAGTTGCCTTGAGCTGTTTTGGAGCAAAGTTCAGGGCGCGCGTGGCCGGACTCCTGGCTCTTCCCGCCTTGCTGGGTGGGGTAGTAGTCGGGGTAAAGAGCGCAGGCCTTGGAGTATGAACGCCTGGCTCTGCTATTTACGAGCTGTGAGATCTAGAGCGAGTCTAGAGTCTCAATTTCCTTCTCTATAATGAAGGGTTTGGGGCAGAATGACCTGCTAAAGCTTCTGGCTGCTCCGGCTCTCCAGTCATCCTCAGAGAAGGGGCAATGTGTACAGATAAGGGTTGTGCCGGAGTTGAGGAACTCTGTGTTGAGGCAGGGTCTCGGGCAGCACAGGCTGTTCTCAGACTCGATGTATGTCAGAGGTAAGCCTCCACTTCTCGAGTGCTGGGGTCCCAAGCGTGAAACATGCTGCCCTTAGCCATCCTTAAGCAGCGCGTCCGTATCCTAAACCTCTTTTTAAGGAGTGATTAGGAAGGTGGGTTGCTGGGGATCCCTGAGGACATTGACGCGCTCTGCATCTTCCATGTCACACCCCAAGCCCTCAGTTTCCTTATCTGTGAAGTGGGGGCGTTACTAGGAAAGAAAAATAGGAGCCGGGAACGCTTTTTCCCGGGGCTCTATATAAAGCCCTGGCGTTTCCGGGACGGCTGGCGGTATCTGGCTGCCCCAAGGGCCCCGAGATACGGTAATCCTGAACAATACTCGGGATCATTGTTTACAGTTATAAAACACATTCTGTCCTGAGCTCCATCCCCAAGGACTTGCGCGCGTGGTGAGATGAGGCGACCAGACTCCTCTCTTTTCTGCAGCTGCCCTCCCACCCGAGCGTGTAGCTCCGCAGACCTGCGGGGGGCGGGGGGGGGCAGGCGTAGGCGCACGCACCAGCCCTGGGTGCCTGGCTTTTTTTTTTTTTTTTTTTTTTTTTTTTTTTTTTCACCCCTTCATCCCAGCGTCCTGGCCTGCCCGGGTGTTTACGCGCCTCCCTCAGCAGGACTGAGTAAATGCAGCCCTTTGACGCAAAACGGATCAGCCCTCCTTCCCCAGCAGCAGCAAAACCCAGAAAACTGGAGGTGGGGACGGGGGCAGGGCACAGAAGAAAAAAAAAAAAATCGTGACACTTTCCCACTCGCCTCGCCCTGTGCCGTGCGGGCCCTTGATCGCCCTTGAGAAATCTGGGGCGGGGGGGGTGAGCAACTGGGGGGGGCCCAGGGGGCGCAGGGGCTCCCCGCGGAACCGCGTGTCACAACAGTACGAACAGACGCACTTTTGGTTTTCCTTTGAGCCGCACGGGCTGCCTGGCCCTCCCCCCAGCCCGCACTCAATAATCGTGTGCTTCTGGGTCTCTCCCACACAGTCCTTCCAGTAACGCGGGGGGGGGGGGGGGGGGGGAGGGGGGGGGAAGGGGAACAAGAGCTTCCTCCAAGGCCTCCGCCGTCCCGGGCGCGCCCAGCCACTAGCAGGCGCCCGCCGGGAGCGCGCCTTCGGGCCAGAGCAACCTCGCGCCCTCGCCCGCCCCCGCCCGGACCCGCTTCCCCGGTCCTTCCTTTCTTGTGGCTTCCCGTAAAGCCCAGCAGCCCCCAGACGTCTGCAGAGCATCACGGAATCTGTGCTGATGCAAGTCGCCGGCCTCCCTTTGGTGCGCCCCGGCCTGCCGGAGAGCGCTTTGATCCCTGCCTGGCCCTGCTCCGGAACGCGTGTCGGTCTCCCTGCGCCTGGCCGGAGACCTGCGTGGCACAGCCTGGGCCACCTTTCAGTCCTGTGGCACCAGAGGCAGAGCTGAGCCCGAGTGCTGCCCCCGGGGCTGGCCTCTCTTGGTTCAGTGGATGCCTTAATTTTGACTTATCTAGACCCAGTTCGGCGGCGCCTACGTGGGAAGACGTCCCTGAGGGCGCGCGGTTAAGGAAGGGGCTGGAGTAAAACCTTAAGCACAGGGATTAAGCCTCAGTGTCTCGAATCTTAAGGAAAACAGATACTGTCTCTTGTAATCCTTACAACAAACATTTGAGGTGGCTCTTGTTCCCAGTTGCCAGTTCAAGAAAGTAACGTTAAGTGACTTGTCCAAGGGAACCGGCCAGGGTTTAATAACGAGTTAGGAGTTAGGACTGTGACCCGGCCTGCTCCCGCTCCCCCCTGCAACCCCACCCCACATTACCTGCCTCCTACCGGAATGTCTGTCTGGCTTTCTAAGCGTGGCCTTCATTTGTTCGTGGCTTTAGCTGACACTTAAAAGTACCCCTTCTTTCTCTGCTGAGTAAATAGGAAAAAAGGTAGGAAAAAAGGGTGATTCTTCATTGCTTCTGTGGGTGTCTCTCACCCCTGACAATTTCCTTGTTTGCCCATCCAGCCCAGTTTGCCCTTGAGAGACACCTTGGATCTTTGAGAGGTGGTCCCTCCGGCCACACTGGCCCACCAGCATTTCGTGAAGACCTTTCTCATGCATGGCTTCTCTGGTCATACAACATCCCCAGGGGAGTCATGGACAACTGTTGACCAGACTCGGCATTGCCAAAGCAAAGCCAAAGCAACCCCCTCAGCAGGGCCCAGCCAGTGGATGGATGTCTGCAATCAAACCAAAGCCACCCCACATGACCTTAAACCCAGTGTTCTGCCAACCTCAACGACCTAGTCTCCTCCCACACTGCCCAGAGAATGAGTGAAGCTGGTGCCTTGGTCAGGTTCCTACTGCCTCGACCAAACGCGACTTGGGGAGGAAAGGGTTTATTTTGCTCACTTTCCCACATCACAGGAAGTGAGGGCAGGAACCTGGAAGCAGGAACTGAAGCAGAGGCCATGGAGGAGTGCTGCTCCCCTTGGCTTACTCTGCTTTCCTGTATGGTTCAGGATGCCTGCTCCAGGGTGGCATGTCTCCCAGTGGGCTGGGCCTGTCCACACCAATCTTTCACCAAAAGAATGCATTACAGACTTCCCTCTAGACAATCGGATAGAGGCCTTTTCTCAGTTGAGCTTCTTCCCAAATAACTCCTGCTTGTGTCAAGTTGAAACAAACAAACAAACAAACAAACAACCAAATAAAAAATAGACAAAAAGAAAAAAAAACTAGTATAACCTATTAATATAGAAGTGTTTGAGTTTTCTATGGCCCTATAAATTTGTCAGAAGGCCATTATCAAGCAAGCAAGCTCAAATGATCCTTTGGGGGAAGACTGAGGAAACACAGAATTTTATATTTCTAGTGTCTGGTAACAGGGGAAAACAGACCAGTAGAGTTGAGGGTTGCACCCCTTAAACTGTTCAGATCCACTAATCCTAAAGGGCATGTTTGTGTCTGTCCAGTGTGAAGGTCCAGGAAAGGCTGGGAACTGCGGATGCTCCAAGAGGACCCACAGAGTGTGGGAATGGGGTGCTGAGTGGACAAAACCGCTCCCCCCCGACCCTGTGGCCTCACACCACCTTCTCGAGGACACAAAGGACACTGACAGCATATGCATTCTGAGAGATAACATGAAAGCTTCCCCCAACATACACTGGAACTCTACAGTGATCAGAAGCTATGAAGACACAAAGCAAACACGGTGGCCCACACTTAAAATCTCAGCACTTAGGAGGTAAAGGCAGGAGGATCAGGACCTTCTCAAGAGAGAGGGAGAAAGGGGGGGGGCACCATACCGTGATGGTACCTCATCCTTAATCCAGCACTTGGAAGGCAAAGGCAGGTGAATCTTTGGTTTTGGCCAACCTGGTCTACAGGGTGAGTTCCAGGACAGCCAGGGCTACAGAGAAACCTGGTCTTAAGTTACATTTAAATGAAATGTTCTACCACATGGGTTCTGAGGACCGAAGTGGGTCCTTTGGAAGAGCAGCCAGTACTCTTAACCACTGAGCCATCTCTCCAACCCCAGAAAAGATCACAACTGTCTGTAATTCCAGTCCCACGGAATATAACCTCCTCTTCTGCCCATCCCCTCCAGGT